TGCTCATTTATGTGTCTGTCAGTTGATGCTGGCTGTTGCTGAGAACTCAGCTGGCAGCTCATCTGGGGTTGTAGACTGGAGCACCTCTCATGACATCCCCTGTGCTTTGGGCTTCCCTCAGTATAGTAGCTAGGTTCCTAGAAGGAGCGTCCCAAGAGCAAGTGCTCCAAGAAGCCAGAGTACGTTTGGACCCTTGTGAATGAACGTCATAGGTATATACACTAGGTCTTCAGGTGCTAGAGACTATTGGTGACTTCTTCAGAGCTTTACTTTCTGAGAACTGAAACTTTTATAGAATTAAATTCATATACTGTTCAATATTGTTGACTTATGCTCTAGAAGTAAGATTCAGAGATAATTCTATTGGTGTTAGAAATAAAGGACTACTGAGAAAATATCAAGTGTCAACATGTTTTCTCTTTTTATGGTGATAGTAGGGATAATGAGGAGGGGATTTGTTTACTAAGAAAATAAATTTTTAAAAAATGTAAACACCTTGGCCAGAGTGGCTCATTTGGATGGGCGACATTCTGTGCACCAAAGGAGTGCCGGTTAGATTCCCAGTCAGGCCAACTTTCCCTCACCTTTGTGAGTATCCCTGGCTCTGCCTGCCATTGTCCTGGATCTTGCCAAGCGGCATCAGGCTGCTTTCCACCCTGTGATGTGACCTGTGGATGCTTCCCAATAAAAGAAGAAAGTAACCTTAAAAAAATTCAAACAAGATTGTTTTTAATGCCCAGGAGTGCTGCTCATTATAAATGACTCATTCATTCATTAAACCAACCATGCAAAAAGATATGGTTGTTAATTCCAATTTGTCTGTAATATATTTGAAATAACATGATAGTTAAAACTATTTTGTTTTTAGATTTATTGACAATTTAGACCCATTTCCCCTTAATGAAAAGTTGTGTTTTTTTTTAATTGTAAATCAGTCATTTCTCTGAGATAGTTCACATTGCTTCATTGTTTTGGACAGTAAAACTTGTTACAAATTTGATGGTAATGAAAATGTGTTGTTTTTATTTTCTAAAAAGAGCAAAAAAAAAAAAAGCGCAGCTCTTTCTCTAGGTGAAAATCCACTAGAAATCGTGGGGTATTCTTTTTTCTTCCTTTTCCTTTTGTTGGGTTTCATGAGATTGTATGAAATTTATTTCCATCAAAGCAACTGACTCCCTGGGTCTTGCTGTCTTCTGTTAACAATATGAGTTCCAAAATTTTAATTAAAAAAATGTTTATAATCAAGAAGTATTATTGCCTTTTAGGTAGAACCAATAGACTACTCTTTTACAGTAATTGGTTGACTCTTCACTTACTTTATGAAAAACATTTTGATACCATTGCAATTAACCAAGTTATTAATAATAGGAAAGGAATAAATGAAGTCCAAATATTATAGGCATGTCATTTGGGCAGCTTCACCAGGAAACTAAAGCTTTACACTCTCCAGGGAGCCACTGGTCTATTCCCTGTAGATTGCTGGAGGAAGGGACGGGACAGGGAGGAGAACAGATGTATGCTCAGTAAAGTTGGGGTGATGTCAGGAAGGGACTTGTCTGTCAGTCATACCCGGGAACAGGTCATGGCCATGGCCCCTGCCATGGTGTGGAATTTGGGATATTTAATCTCCTAAACAAAGAAGTTTTCCCTCTTGTGCTCTTGGTTCCTCTTATACTCTTAGGACTCTTATTGCTCAGGATGTGCTCTCCTATATTGGCCCACATGGCCGACGGACCCCCACACACAATGGACTAATGGACTGTAACTATGCTGAAGCTGAAGTGGACACAGCTGAGAAATGGAACAGAAACTCTGGACACTGGCGTTGCTTTTAGTTTTACTGAAATCCCAGCTGCACTTCTGTAAAGAAAATGGGACTTTGGAAATGCAGAAATGTAAATCCACGCAAATAAAAATTATTTACTCTCCCATGCAAGCCTCGGGAAATTCTTTCTCTCGAGATATCATAAGGACTCCACCCCCAGCACCCAGTGGGGAAAGGGACACCACAATTTCTCCAACCACAATTTTACCAGTTCCTTCAGACCGTGTTTCACTTTTCCCACCATACAAGCAAGAGCCATAATAGTTATGAGACTGAATAATTCCTACTTCCTTCAGGGATTCTCTTAGAAACAATTTTGCTCTGTGTGATTCACAGTTATACCACATCAAAGAGGTGTCACTCAAAGAAACCTGGCCTATAAAATTTTTGGCCACCTCTGACAGAGACAGATCACAAAAGCTCAACATGTGGACCAAAGAATATGGGTGAAAGAGGGAAGGATCTTGTGAAAAGAGCAATTGACAAGGATTGAAAAGCTTGCAATCTAGTTTCAACTCTGTCTCCATTTAGTTATAAGGTCTGGGACAAGGATTGGACTTCATAGACCATCCCCAGTGCCTCCCAGACTTAGAGTTGTTCAGGGAGAGGCAAGACACATCCCTGACTCGCCTCCCTAGATGAGATACTATCTATAGCACTTAGAAGGGGAAAAAGTGCTGTGTAATGCAAGTGTCATGTCCCCTATTACCTCTGTTGTGATTTTCAGGGACCCCTTCCTGGAGTTGTTTGGAGCAGCTCTCCACTTGAAATGAAATGAATGTGAGTCCTTTGTTCATGCAGTTCTGCCATTAAAGGGCTGTTAAATAACAGCTCTGAGACAGTCTGTTCCCCAACAGAAACAGAAAGACATGGAGCATCCACTGAGCCTGGAGAGAGCTAATTAATAATAAAATAAGACTTTACGGCATGCAACGTTTCTTCTTCGACTTGAGGCCATGCATGTGGAAATTAATGGTCCCATGAGAGAAGTAGACAGTGATTAGACATAAACTAAAAGAACAAATGACTCTGGGCCCAAACTAATCATTTCATGTCTGCTCTATGCCGCAGCTGCATTATCTACCCTTTGCTATCCATAGATTTATTCTAATACTAAAAGAAGTATTTCTCAAGGTAGTTTTAGTTGTTTGTCTCACTATACAATATCCCCAACCCAGCGCATCTTAAGTACTGATAATATTTTCTCATTCTACATTTGCATCTGGGAAAGGGAAGACCAGTAAAGGTATCTTTAACCATAGGTATTAATTATAAAAGAGAGATAGTAAGACACAACTCCTACATGGTGATACCTGGCATTTTGTGAGAGCCCAGTAAATAAATTAATTTTGATAATGATTTGTTAAGTAAGTTAATAAAGTAGAACTATGGGAGCTGTTAGAAACAAAGAAGATTGGTTATACTTGATTAGAGATCTTGTGAATGTTATGTTTTCATTTTTTTCTTTTAAATAAAGTCTTGTTGATTGCTCTATGCTTCCAACCTTGCACTAAATCATGCCAACTTTGTTTAAGACTTAGAGAAATTATAGGAAACCAATTATGTGCTAAACACTTGCACCTATATTGATCTTCCCAATAGCTCTGCAAGGTCAATGTTGCCAGATTGCTATGCATTCCCATTTTATAGATGAGAAAAATGAAGCCCAGTGAAGTTAATTAATTTGCCAAAAGACATATAACAATGAGCAGGAGACCCAGACTTGAACCCACATTTAACTGTAAGACTTTGACTTTTGCAACATCCAATATATATATATTTACTTTTATTTCCCATAGGGTGCATGTCTAATGCTTCCAAGATCTGTACCAGGGACAACACACCAGCATCTCTGCCAAAAGATTTGTACTTGTGCAATAATCATATTTATATTGTTTCCATCTAAAAATGTATCTGGTCTAAACATCACTACTAAGGAGACCAGTGATTTGTCACTGGGCCTTGTTAAATTATTGCCTTAGATGTATATAACCAGATATAACATGGCAGACCTATAATGTATCTCAAGTTTTATCTTTCAGTTGGAGATAAAGCTTTGGAAGAATTGTAAGGTAAGTAGCTCAGAGTCATCCATCCATTCATTTAATGAATGTGTAGTGAGCTTCTAATGTAGAAGGCATAGTTCTAGGTGCTGGGAATACATCAGTGAACCAAGTAAACAAAAAGTTCTTTCTCTCATGAAGCTCACATTGCAGAGGCATTGTAGTAGGGGTTAGCGAATATGCAAATAAATGAGTAAATGTGCATGTCAGATGGTGATAAGCACTGTGAAGAAAATTGTAACAGGGAAAGGGGACAGAGGATGATGGATTAGAGAGTGAGATGGTCTGGCGCTATCTTCTATTGGGTGGTTAGACAAGAATTCTCTGATGGGGTGACAATTGAAAGAGGTAAAGGAGGGATTGATGGAGACCTCTGAGCATTCCAAGAAAAGAGAACAGTGAGCATGAAGGGTTTGAAGTGGGAACATTTATGGTGCATCAAGTTCCTCCAGGGAGGCCAGAGTGGTCAGAAGAGAAGTTAAGGAGAGACAGGTAGGAGATGAGGACAAAGGTCATAGGGTTGGAGGGCAGATCACATACAAGAGTAAACAGTGCTTTGTCCCCTGAACCACCCAGCATGTTTTTCCATTTCTTATTTTTAGAAATTTTTCCACTGTCTCTGTTATCTCCAGACATCCAGAAAGAGGCCCTTTACATATATGGTGCCCCCTGAAGGCCATGAGAGAAACCAATTATGTGCTAAACATATGAGAGAAGTAGATAGTGCTTACATTCAGATTCTGGAATTGGGCTACGTGCATTCAAATCCTGACTCTTTCATGTATCTTTGGCTAAGTTCCCCAGGCTTTCTATGTTTTACTTTCTACATCTGAAAAATAAAGATGGTGGTGGGATGATGTTGATTTTGATGATGATGATGATGATGATGATGATCTACATCCTAGGGTTATTTAAGTATCACATGATTTAGTATGTGGAAGGCACTTAGAACAATAAAGCCTGGCACATAGGAAGTGCCACATAAGAGTGGACTAGTCTTATAAACAGAGAGGATAGTGATCTGCTGAAGTAAATCAGTGTCCAGAATGTCATTCTTCTCAAGATTATTTTCCTTCTATAAGTGACAATGTTTCCTGACAATTTTTAGTAGTGGAGTCCCAGGCATGAGAAGCACTGTCTAGGGCAGATTTTTTTTTTTTTAAATTAGGAAAGACTTCCCAGCATGCTGCTTACAATACACCATCATAGCTTACTTCTGTTTATGAGCAGGCCAATCCTTTCCTCCACCGTAATTCTAAAGGGAGTCCCCGCTCCTTAGTTTTGTGTTGTTGTTTTTGTTGACCCAATATGCTTATGACTTTCAGTATCAAAACCTTCAGTTTTATTTTATGTTAGGTTGTAAATGTTATGCATCTAAGAATCCACACTTGCATAAAAAATAGGGCTATCATTCCTCTGTGCGCTTGGAAAGGACAAATTGCTCCAAGCTGCAGGAGAGGTGGTTCATCTTACACATCTGGGAGTGAGAGGCAGTGGAGGATTGTGCTATAAGGGGAGGGCCATTGGAGCATATGCTCATGAATAATGAATCTGACATTATAGCTATGCAAATGGAACACAGCAAGCTCTAAGCTAAAACTTGGTCTCATCATTTATTCACGGCCTCTTGTGTTCAGCACCTGGATAGTGCTCAGGACGGCAAGGGAACAAAGCAATCTGCTTGCTGTACTTGGGGTAGAGAAGGTCTGCGCGAGGAAGCCAGATATTTGAGATGGTGCGATTTCCATTCCAAGCTCTGAAGGTAAATGAAGGTGAACAAAATCCTTGAGGAAATGCATGCTCAGTTGCCTAAAGAGTAGACAAATGTGCCAGCTTATTAAGGCACAAAGTGACAATAATTGCTGATGCTTAGGGTAATGGACAGAGACAAGTTAGAGCCTGAATGTAATCCAACACATTCTGTGATCTTTGCATTTTAATATTTAAATTTGCATGGGATAGACATCAAGATCGATTTGATTTCTCTGGGGGAAGTTCTACATTTTCTTGCAGTAAACAATGCATTTTTCAAATTCAAACATCAATAAAATATTGCAATTACGGAGAGATGAGGAATTTGGATCACCAAGGTGTCTGGATTTGTTTACTCATTGTACATAGGGATCATCCTTCATTTCTACCCCTTCACTAAGGAAGGATTGCCCCTGGGGAATTCCTAATGATGGAGGGACTCTTATTTCTGTGCTTGATTAGGGTTCCAGTGTAAATCCACAGCCTGAGAAGGGACCTGAGCCCAGTAACTGTCCCCCCAAACAGCTGCAGAAAATGAGGCGACTCTGGCTTGTTTTTCCAAGCTCTGCGGAGGAAGATTTCATATTTCCCTTCGGTCACACAGTTATTTCCTAACGCTGACAGTTAGGAGAGGCTTCCTTGACTTGCAGACAAATCTGAATTGATCTCAATATAATAATATGAGAAAAATCCCTGTCAGCACTGAAAAATAGGAAACATTGTCACCCACATGCCAAAGGCTATGAGAAATTTCTGCAAGATGAGGCTGAATTGAGCAAAATATGGAACAGCCTGTGAGTCAGCCTGCACGTTAGAATTGCCTGGAGAGTAATGAAAAGCCCAGATGTCTGAGCCTCGCTCCCTGGTTGTTCGGATGCAGTGGGTCTGGGTGCAGCCCGGGCATCACTGTTTGAAATGCTTTTTAGATGATCTGGTGCCCTCCCTGAAGCTTGCTGGTGGGCAGTGGCTCAGAGCAGAAGGGGCTGGGGCTGGAGGGAGGGACAGGCTGAGGGGCAGAGAGTGAAAGAGATTTGTTGGTGCACAAAGGGCTCAGGTCACCCTGAGTGGGGACTCCCCAGTGGTGCCCAGTCTCTGCAGCTTACACTCAGTGTGGACAGCAGCACCCTCCCCTCCAACCTGTAGGCACAGAATTTGTGGAAGCTGTTCCTGCAGTGGAAGGCTTGCAGGTGGTGGGAAATGGGACAGGAAGGTGTGTCAGCCCTGCTGAGGCAGTGGCAGGGGCCTGGGAGGGTGTCCTGAGGCAGCAGGTACATCTCCCCAGGCCTAGCACCGGGACCTGAGGGTGGACCAAATTGAGGGAAGTTGCTAGAGGCCCTGCTCCCTCCAGCTCCCTTTGTGATGCTGGATCATGAAAAAGGCAACTGGTGCTTAATCTAAAGACCCAACAAGAGGTCTCTCTTCAGCAGACATTCAAGATCATGAGGTTGCAGCAGCTCCCTCACTGCTGCTCACATCTCCTCCCTGTCCACACCTCTTCAAGAGATCTCCCTAATGCCACACTCACTGAGGAGGGGGCTTCTCACAGCACACTCATACCTTGCTCTAGAGAAATCCTCACTCTTCAGCCACTACCATTCAACCCTTTTATACTTCTTAGGTGAGTGTGTGTGTTGGGGGGGCAGCGCTAAGATTTGAAAATCATTTTACAGACACCAGTTTACAGAGACTTCCTGATAAGAACTACTTGGTCGTCCAGTACCCTGGTTTGGATGGTGGAGGCCATGCCCTAACCTCACAGGCTGGTCCTCAAGGGTATATGGCCTTTGCAACAGCAGCACAGGGTCCCTCCCTCAGAAGGGCCTTATAGTTGGATTAACATGTTGCCGTCATCATCTTGAACTTAATAATTTTTGAACAAGGGGCCCTGCATTTACACTTTGGAAATTATATAGCTCATCCCGGTTGCTCCTATTAAAGTGGGGGCTTCCTTTGAAACTGAGAAAGCATCTGGTTTGTAGATCTTAATTATGCCCATTTCTGAAGACTGCAGGCCTGTGTAGTAGAATTCTCATTTTTGAGCATGGATAGACTGGAGGAACAATCCACACATATCAGTGTGAGGCCTCTGAGAACTCTTTGACGCATAAAAGAAGAACAGAGCTCATAGCAGGCAAGGGAAGGACATACTTGAAAAAAGATTTACTGCAGGAAACAAAAGTAATTTACAGCAGCATCTGCTTGGCCTTTCAATATAATTCCATTAAGCCTGGATTCCATGAAACACGAGATTAAAGATGAGATAAGACAATAAATATCAAAAGTAAGGCTGCTTACAGGAAGGTGAAAAATCAAAAAAAGAAGCCAGACAAATAAGAATAATGGCTTTGAAATAAAAAAAAAAATGAGTTGGCAGAATCCTGTAGTGGGTTAGGAATAGCCCAGTAGACCCCGTGGATAATTGCATCAGTAATACGGAGAACTCGCCTGAGAGTCTCCAAATGCTGAAAAGAGCAATGAGATGGAAATGACTAGAGAGAAGAAAGATATCAAAGAGAGGCAATGGAGGAGAAGCACACAGGTCAGTGGAGTTTCTCCAGGAGCTAAAGGAACAAATGGGTCGGAAGCGATGTTCACAGACAGACAGAGATTGCCTACTCTCCTCCCGAGGGGACAGGCAGATGGGCGTTTGGGGATGGCTGAGAGAGGAGGGAATCTTCCATCACTGTGCTGTAGAGAACAAGCTATCACACACTTCTGTGATGGCACCTGCATTAATGTAGAGCAATGGACCTTGATGTAGGGAACAGGGCATGGGATCCCTCACTTGGGTATTAGCAATGCTCTAAGTATGCCATTTGAATCTAGCAAGGAAGGATCAGTAGATCTGGCTTGAAAAGAAGTTTTGTCACAATAAAGATATTCTAGACTCTATCTCCTATAGTCAGTAATCAATGCATTTACAAATTTCTGAAGGCAGATTGTACAACCAATGATTTATTTCATAAATGGTATGGCTGTTATAGAAGCCTATAGAAATCTAAACAGGAAAACAGATCTAATTTCTGAATAGAATCACAGAAGGAGCGATCTCAGAATCATTCATTCCCTTGGTTAAAAAATGCGGGGGAGGGATTTGGACTAACTAAGTGGTAAAAATGACTATAGGGCATTTTACTGGGCCAAAGTCATAATGTATGTTAGGATGATAATGCACGTAATGAATCATAGTATGCTCTAATTGAGGGGTTGAGAAATGATAAACACTCAGCACTACTATTTTCCTGCTCATGGCAGACATTGCTGGTCTGTTATAATAGTCTTGCTTGCTAAACTTAGACATAGCCTCAGAAACCTTTCAACGCAGCAGGCTGAGCAGCCTGTGTAACCCATCAGAGCTGGTGTTTAAGATGTCACTCCTAATCCAGTTCAGCTCTCTAATTTTTCAGGTAAGGTTACAGAATCTCAGAAGAACAAAGTGATGAAAAGGCCACACGACCATTTGAAAGAAGAGCCAGGACTCTAACCTGGGTGTTTGATTTTCTGATCAAATAATCTAAGCTATCCTATTAGAGTTCAAACTTGGGATATAAATGCATGGACTTTAAGATTATAGTCCAAAACTAATTTTGATGTGTATGTGTGTTATCACCCTGTGAGATAACTTTGATGTGTATATATTACTGCGATGACTTTAAGGTGTGTGTGTGTGTGTGTAGTGTGTGTGTGCATGAGTATGTATGTTATCACTATGTGATATGCTGGTGTGTGTGTTTGTATGTTATAACTATGGATCAAAAGTTCTCTCCCAGATGCCAGACACCTAGCCCAGGGGTGGGCAAACTTTTTGACTCGAGGGCCACAATGGGTTCTTAAGCAGGACCGGAGGGCTGGAACAAAAGCATGGATGGAGTGTTTGTGTGAACTAATATAAATTCAAAGAAAACATCATTACATAAAAGGGTACGGTCTTTTTTTTTTTTTTTAGTTTTATTCATTTCAAACAGGGCGGATCTGGCCCGGGCCGTAGTTTGCCCATGGCTGCCCTAGCCCCAGAATTTACATATTCTTTCAAACTCAGATTTCTTCCATTTAAGTGAATGTGCGTTCATTCTAAAACAAACAACCAAAAATAAGGGGGAAAGGATTCAAACCCTCTCATGAACTATGTCTTCTTTGAGTCGCTGTTCTGTTCCATCCTTCCCTCAAATAGTGCTTCTATGGACTGAATACATTTACTTTCTTTATTTTTTATTTTTCATTATTCATTAATTTCCTGTAATTTGACTCCTGACACCGATATTCTATTGAGATAGCTATTGAACAGGTCCCTGATGACCTGACAACCTAATCTAATGGACTTCTGCTATTCCTACTTGGTGGATCCTGCATTTGATGATGTTAACCGCCCCTAGGCCTTGAAGCCCTTCTTCATTCCTTATCAATATTTTCTCTTGGTGGTGCCTGTGCCTCACTTCATTCCAGTTACCTTTCTTCTCCTCCTCAGCCTTGGTCTTTGCTCATAGCCTTCCTTTTTCTGTGTGCTATCCCTGGGCAGTGTTATCTCCTCTCATGATTATAATGTCCACCTGTGTTGGATGACTCTCAAATCTGTCTCGAGCTGTGACTTCTCCTGAGTTTTAGATTCATGTATCCAAGACTTTGCTGCAACAGTGAACTTGGTTATTCTCTAGGCACTTGCAATGCATCATGTCCCACAGTGAACTGCTCATCTTTCTCTCCAAGCCCAAGCCCAAGAACACTAACTTTGGGGTGTGTGTGTGTGTGTGTGTGTGTGTGTGTGTGTGTGTATGGTCTCTGTTTATAGCACTGCCATCTGTCTTTTTACCTGAGCTAAAAACCAGAGAATCAGCCTGCATTCCTCTCTCTGCACATTTCCTCGCTCTCAGTCTCCAAGTCCTGTTGACTCAATTTCTTTAAAGTTTCTTGAAGTCCTCCAAGTTCAGGTCTCTATCTTCTGTTGCCAGAATGATGTAAGAAGCTGCTAACTGGTCCTGTGTCTGGTTCTGCTGATCCTAAATCCTCCCTTCACTCCGCTTCCAGGGTGGTCCCTCCCAAATCATTTCTTTCCCTGTTATTTTATGACATCAGCTCCTCTTGCCCTCAGGATAAAGTTCATGCACCTTAATGGGACTTCTATGCCTTTGCATTACCTTTCTTCACTGTTCCCCGTATTATTTTCTGCTCTCACACTGCGTGCTTACCATGTCACCAGCAGCCCACTCCCTGGCACATGTACATCCACTTTTACATATCTTTCTCCTACAGCCCTTCTCTGAGATATATTTCTCTGCCTTGTAATTTACTGAGTTCCAAATATGTTATATGTGATAATCTGAACATAAATGCCTGCCTGAGACCCTGAACACCCTTTGTGGTGACAAGCCTACAATCCCCTAAGCCTGCCTGGCATTCCGCCTATTGATGGGAAAGCAGGTGAGTTGCAAGATAACTACTTAGATTAAGTCATTGGCTAACTAGACCCTAAGTGCCCTATTTTTCCTCCCCAGGGAACCCCAGAGTGCAGAATGTGAATCTGGAGAGAGAGGGTAGAGGTATTGAATGGAGGGTGCTGACTTTGGGAGAAGCTATGGCAGTCCAAGTCCCAGGCTCAACATGAGCAGTGTAGCTCTGGGTAGCTGTTTGGCAGTGTCTTAGTAAATTACACATCATATGAATTCCCAAATCGACTTTTGCTGATTCGTTTCCTCTAGGCATCCACGGCAGGGCAGCAGCTTTGGACGGTGAGGAATTTTTGAAATGCAGCGTTAGCAGCTGAGAAATTGGACCCTGCCACAAGCAGCAGGGAGATGCTGGAAGAGCTTGGCTGAGGCTTCTGATGATCCGAAGTCTTTTCCATCCGTCCTGGAAAAGGCCCCCTGGCCAACTCTAAACAGACCTTTGGAGCTTCTCTGCTCAGAGTGTGGTCCACAAAACCTTGGGGTCTTGTAAGAAACACAGAATCTCAGGTCCCGTCCCAGACCTACGTCAGAATCGGCACGTTGACAATATCCCCCAGGTGATTTGGTGGACACTCAATTGAGTAGAGTTGCTTTATAAACACATGTAATATATCAGTTCCCCCAGCAGGCTTTGAAGACCTAGGTTGTTCACACTGTCTCTCACTTAAGCTGCCTATATCATCTTGTTGACAATTAAAAAAACCTTTTTATTTTCTTTCTTAACCCATACTATTTGGACATAACCCATTTACTAGTCACCACTCCCCTTGAACCATCTCTGCTTAGTAGAAATATAATGCAAGCTCTAAATGCAAATTAAATATGTAATTTAAAATATTCTGGCAGCCACATTTTAAAAAGTGTAAGGAAATGGCTGGCATTAATTTTAATCATATATTTCATTTAACCCAATATATCCAAAATATTTTCATGTCAAAATGTAGTCAATATAGAAAATTATTGGGGCAATTTACATTCTCTTCTCATACCAAGTCTTCAAAATCTAGTGTATATTTTACACTTACTACACATCTTTGTTTGGATGATCACCTTTCCAGGATCTCAATAGCTACCTGTGAACTTGTAGACACTGTAGATCTGGATTCTAAGGTCCTTTATCTGTGGAATTCTATTGTCGAACACAGTTGCCTGGTATGTAACATGCACTCAGTGAATTAATTCATTCAATCACCTATTCATTAAACAAATACCGAGTGCCGACTAATGTCAGACTCAGCTCCAGGCACAGGGGATACAACAAAGTCCTTGTCCTTATAGAACGTACTGTCTAGGGTAAGAAAGGCTACTAACACACACACAAATACATTCATTATATGTTGGGTAGCAAGCTGCTTTGAGGAGATAACACTGGAGCAGAGATTTGAATGCAAGAAGGAGCAAGCCTCAGAGGTACCTGGGGAGGGGGACAGGAAGCATTCCTGGCCGAGGGTACAACAGAAGCAAAGGTCCTGGAGAGGGTGTGTACGTGGCAAATTTGAGGAAGACAGACGAGGGTAGTGGGCTGCAGTCCAGTCCTGAGGCGAGGAGGGGCAGGAAATGAGGTAAACTAAGGATCCAGGGGCCAGATTATGCCGGGGCTTCCCTGTCATGGTAAGAATTTTGGATTCATACAATGTGTGATGGGAGCCACTAGAGGATTTTTGAGTAGGGGTGTGACATGAACTGGTATTGGTTGGAAAAGGATCCCTCTGGCTCTTGGGGGAGAATAGACTCCTTGAACTGAACCTGAGTCAGAAGGTCTGAAGTCCCTCTCTTTACCCAGGTCCACTGAAGCTTGTCTCTGGTTGCCCAGGAAAGTTGCTTCAGACGGGGGAGGTGTACGCCACTTTCTGGGATGCCCTTTGTAGCACTCATGCCCACAGCGTGCCCTCCCAGGGAGCTGTGTCTGAGCTGTGAGTTCACTGACTTCTCAAACTTCTTCTGTCTCATTGTGCTTGCCGGCTGACAAGCCACACTGTATAATTTATGTCTCTCTGAGTCCTACTGCCACTCATTTTCCATCCCTTTAAAATGAAAAACAAGTACATATACATATACACACACACATACACACTCTATACTATTTTATGAGGCTTCCCTGCTCAGCAAAGTGTCGGTTTGACAGCCTCGGTGCTTCTCCCAGTAGCAGAAGCCTGGTTGGTGTTAGGAAGACCCCTTGGGGGCTGATTAAAATCTCTGCCTCATGTCACCTGCCTGAAACAGAAGCCTAGTCCCTTCTGTCACCAGGCAAAAGCCTTCCAGCCTCAACATGAGGTGCAGGGTTTCATCCTTTGGAATGAAATTGAAAACCGCAGCTCCTGTAAGGTGCTTGGAATTTAGCCTGGTTGTCAAATTGGATCTAACGTCAATTGTGGCAAAATTGTGAAGCCAGTAAAGTTTGTTTTGGTGCCCTCAGATTACTTTTGCTACTGCTGCTACTACAACTATAATACAAGCTACCACCACTACCACCACAATTGCAACAGCTAAGTTTTCCTTAGGCTAGGTGCTGTCAATTCATGGTCTCATTTAATCCTCTAATTTAATGAGCTGTACTATTATAATCCCCATTTTACAGAGGGGAGAATTGAGTCTCAGAGAAATCATGTGCCCGGGTAGCTGGAATAGTTGAGATTCAAACTTAGGTTGGCTTTCCTGAGTCTGCACTCCCAACCATTATGCTATGCCGGATCCAAGGTTTCCTTTTCCCAGTGGTGCCCATTTATTCACTCACTCATTCCACTATATCCTTCATTTTCCCGTGGTCTTTCTGTTCGCAGTCTATAGGAAGTCAGTGAAGGACAGAAATGTTCTCACTGGTGAGGATGCTGGAAGTCAGAGAAGAATCTCTATCGAGGACCTACCGTGTTGTTATCATAGAGCTTTTTTCTTGTTATCCTTATAATCGTCGTTTCGTAGGAAAGGCAACTGGGGCTAGCTTAGAAGCAGACTCTGAGATGAAGGTTCATGGGGAAGGGATGCTAGAAAATATTCCTAGGTGGGAGGGGAAATTGGGACAGAGAAGGGCAGGAAGTCAAGCAAAGGTGCTTAGCTTTGGCTCAGAAACACAGGAAGCTCTTAAATCTTGATTAGAATTATCTTGGTCTTTTTAAAAAAATACACTTTATTGATTTTTTAGAGAGGAAGGGAGAGGCATAGAAAGCTAGAAATATTGATGAGAGAGAAACATCGACCAGCCGCCCCCTGCACACCCCCTACTGGGGATGTGCCCCCAACCAAGGTACATGCCCTTGAATAGAACGTGGGACCTTTCAGTCTGCAGGCTGACGCTCTAGCCACTGTGCCAAACCAGTTAGGGCAAATTCTCTTGGTCTTAATACAAAGCTCTGGATCTTAATTCAGAGATGCCTTCAAGGCGGGTAGGTGACTACAGCATTTATACCCTGTACCATCAGTCACTGGGCAAAGGTTGGGAGCATCCTCAGGCTCTCTGGGCCCTGACAGCCTGAGGACAGCTTTGACAGGCCTTTGAGAAGGAAGACATCATAGGCTGTCTGCACAAAAATGGAAGGGGATCAGATAGGGAAATGGGCTGAGTCCTGACAGCATGTTCCAGAGACTAATGAGAGGATGTGAATTTCTCCACAGCAGCAGGATTGCAATGAAAACCAGGGCCTGATTCACTTCTAAGCCTGGGTCTTTGTCTTTCTCGTTACAGGTAATGCTGAGTTGTCCTGGGCAGTGTTTGTGGGTGACATAGAGACTTTTCCAGGGCCCCTGAAGTCATCATCCCAGAAAGGTGCTTTCGTCTACTTGTAAAACCAGTTATGCCAATGAGACTGGGGAACAATTCTGCTTTGGGGCTCCTAGGGGAGTTTATTGTTGTTTTCATTCCTTCTTCGTTTTTTTTTTTTTTTAGTTTGTATATTTTGATTTTAATGGTTTTATTGGGGTATAATTCACATCCCGTGCAATTCATCCATTTAAAGTGTACAATTCAATGACTTAATATTTTCACAGTTTTGTAACCCCCAGCAGTATTTAATTTTAGAATATTTTCATCACCCTAAAAAGAAACTTCCTACTCATTAGCAGTTCCTTCCTATTTCTCTTCTCTCATATCCTGGCAAACTATAGTTTACTTTCTGTTGTCATGCATATGCCCATTCTGGACATTTCATATAAATGGAAGATATAACATGTGGCCTCTTGTGTAAGGCTTGTTTTACTTAGCATAATATTTTTAAGGACCACCCATATTGTAGCATGCATTAGTACTTCACATGTTTTTATGGCTGAATAATATTATATTATAGGAATATAGCAAGTTTTATTTATCCACTCATCAGTTGATGGGTATTTGGGTTGTTTACACTTTCTGTTATTACTCTATGAACATGTGTGTGTCAGGTTTTGTGTGACGTTGCTTTTATTTCTCTTGGACCTAGAGTGGACTTTCTGGTGCATATGCTAAACTTTTTGAGAACTGCCAAAAAGTTTCCCAAACCAACTGCACCATTTTACATTCCAACCAGAAACATGTGAGGGTGCTGATTTCTCTGCATCATTGCAAACACTTATTACTGTGTGCCTTTTTTATTACAGGCATCCTAGTGGGTGTGAAGTGGTATCTCATTGTGGTTTTGCTTTGCATTTCCCCTTAAGAATGGTATGTTGAGCTTCTTCTCATGCGTTTATTGGATACTTTTATATCTTTGGATAAATGTCTATTTAGTTCCTTTGCCAATTTTTAACTGGATTATTTGTTTTTATATTGTTGCATTTTCATAGCCATATATCTTTCTTTCTTTCTTCCTTTTTTTGTTAATTCTCAACTGAGTATATTTTTCTATTGATTTTTAGAGAGAGTGGAAAGGAGGAAAAGAGACAGAGAGAAACATCAACGTGAGAGAGACACATTGATTGGTTGCTCTTGACCGGAATTGAACCTCGGACCCTTCAGTCTGTGGGCTGACACTCTATCCACTGAGCCAAACCAGCTAGAGCCTAAGAGTTTTATAATTTTAGCTCCTGCATCTAGGTGTTTGATGCATCTTGAGTTAGTTTTTGCATATGGTGTAAGGCAAGGGACCAGCTTCATATTTTTTCATGTGGATATTCAGTTCACAGTCAGACTTTCTTATTCCAGGCACTACCCCTTCCCTTTTCTCCTTCTTCCTACCTGGATGACAAAGGCGATGATGGTTGGTGATATAGCAGTCCGCTTCTGACTATGAGGGAGAAACCTACATAACTTTGGAAATTCTGGCACTGAATGGTTGACTGGATTTATTATGCAAAAAATCCCCCAGAATAAAAACCAGAAAACTCACCCCACCAATTAAGCCCCCAAACCATAATTATTTAAGAGTTTTCTGTTATCCTGTATCCAGAAGCACTGCTTTCTGACTCATTGCTTCTCTCTTCTCTCCTGAAGTGGATATTTCGTGTACTGGTTGATGTTCCTCCTCACAGTGACTCCACCCTGCCACCCTGCAGAAACTGTATCATCCAGTTAGTCTTTTATTGGTCATTATAATTTAATCTGTCTATGTATCTATCTACCTATTTTTTTAAAAAATATTTTTATTGATTTTAGAAAGAAAGGGAGAGGGAGAGAAAGTTAGAAGCATCAATGATGAAAGAGAATCATTGATTGGCTGCTTCCTGCATGCCCCACATTGGGGATTGAGCCCACAACATGTATTGTGCCCTTGACTGAAATCTAACCTGGGATCCTTCAGTCCATAGGCTGATGCTTTATCCACTGAGTAAACTGCCTAAGGCTATGTACCTATTTTTTTGTATCGATATATGTATTTGTCCATGTATCATTCCATTTCTATATTCATCCATCCATCCATCCATCCATCCATCCATCCATCCATCCATCCACCCACCCACCCATCTGTCTGTAACAGTTATTGCTGAATTACTGCAAACAATAACTACCATATCAGTGACTTTGGCCAATAGAAATGTATTCTTTGATTAAAATAAACTGCAGATGTTTTATGGGGGGGCTTTTTTCATGTTGTTCCCACTTAAAAATCTACACAGGTTGTTGGAGCCTCTACCAGCCTCTTCTGGTCACTGCAGTAAGTTGAAGAGAGCACTGAAGGGTGATGCACAGGAAATTAAAAGCTCTGATGTAGAAGTGATGCATGTCCCTTTTGCTTGTAACCCATTGCTAGACTATATAAATAGACTATTCAAATCTAAACCTAAGGGGCAGGGGAGTGCTTTCTTGCACCCTGAAGGGGATGAACTGGACACACTAGTAAACAGCACAAGTATCTATCATCCCCCCCCACCCTGCTCTCCATCCCCTCCTTCTTTTCTTCATCTTCCTCCAATTCCTTCTCCTGTCCCTCTTCTTTTTCTTTTTTCCTTATCTATCTTTATCTTTCTAAACTTAATTTACTAGCAATTTGTCATTTAATTTAATAAAGTTAAAACACCCTCTTATTGTAAAATATGTGACCAGTAGATTGGAGATTTCTCCTTATTATCATAGAGCCAAATGTCTGTGAGTCTAAGTTCTTTTGTGTTTTCACCCACCAGTAGTATAAAAACAGAAAATTTGACAACAACCACTTGTATTAGTTTTCTACAGCTGTAGCAACAAATTGCCCTAAATTTTGGTGGATTATAACTACCATTTATTCTCATCTAGTTCTGGAGGTCAAAGTGAAGGAGGCTTGAGCGAAGAATCTATTTTTTTCCTCCCTCAGTTTTTAGAGCCGACTTCCCCGTGTTCTCTGCCTGTGGCCTTTTCCTCCATTTTTAAAGCCAGCAGTGTAGCACGGTCAGGTCTCTCTCTGCTTCTTTGTTACATCGCTTTCTCCTCTTTTGTCTTTTTAATAAAATCTCCCTGGGCCTCTCTTCTAAGGACACGTGTGATTGCATTTGGAGCCCACCTGGATGATCCAGGCGAATTTCCACATCTCAGGACCCTTAACTTAATCACATCTGCAAAGTCCCCTTTTTCGCTAGAAGGTAACATTCACAGGTACCAGAAATTGGGACCTGGATATTTTTAGGAATTGTTATAGAGCTCATCATACTAGTTACATGAAAAATAGCGAAACTGCATCTCTAATGTTGGAGACAAAAATTAGGGATAATGTTTATTGACTCATCTCTGTACCAAATATTTACAGTAGTTACCCAGGCAGAACTTACAAGAAAAGAAATGGGATCCCAAATAGTACAATAATTAGTAATTGTGGATCATTTTTCTATTGTGGCTCTTACATATTTTTTTAATGCTGATTTGGAATTAGCTGCACCCAGAGATTACATTTCATAGTCAACATCTAAATGCATTTTGTTTTATAAGGATAGTGTCTGGATCTGCTTTATTTAGCAGAAAATTCATTGCTGATACCTTCAAAATGAAACTCGCTGGAAACATTTGTACATATGGGGCTATGAATTATGATTTTCCCCTTATAAGATATTTGCAAGTCAGAAAAGCAAAATCACTGCTTTCTCTCTTCCCCCACTCCCTTGGGAGGGGCCAGTGAATCTCATTCTTTGGCAGGAGAAAACCTGTCTCATGCTCAAGCAAGCTGGTGCACACCCTTATATTAAACTAGATGTTCCCAAATGCCATACACATCTACAAAGATAAAACCTAAATTGAATATTAATGAGTAATGAACGTTGAAAACAAAATTGCCTGTTCTAAATGTGCTCATGAGTTATGAGAACAACATCTCAGTCTTCTCTCCCCATCTCTTGTTGAAAAGAGATGTCCATGAGGTTGGTTAAGTGAGCCCTGGGACCCTCATATATTTCCCCAGGATTACTGCAGACTCTCGAGCAAATAATTTGTTCCAGATTGCTGAATTCTTAAGAAATAAAATTACTCACCCTTAAAAAAAAGTCTTTTCAGGACCGCAGGGTAATTTCTGACTTTCATCCCCATCTTCTGGCTGTTGGACTCTTACGGGGCTAATGCAATAATTCCTTGGCACTTTTCTCTTGCAGCTGCTGACAGGGTGAACTTTTCCTTGGGTCTGTGGTGCCTGGCTGACAGGTGGACTGTAACTACTTTCACATTTTTATTCATTACAGGAGCCGAAGTGGGAATACTTCAATGTCTCCTGTGGCTTCCGTTGACTCTTTGAGGTGATCCGAACCTGATCTCATCAAAATTAATGCCTTATGATCGTTCACACTATTACTGTTAATGGGGTTGAGCAAGCCGTATCCCCTGCAGATACGGCGCTTCTTTGGGACTTATCATAGAGCACAGTCTGGGAAGGTGGATGATCGAGACTGCGCCCACCCCGTAGGGTGGGAATTTGGAGCACTTAACAAAGATAGTTTGCAAAATGAATACTGTGAGCTTTGGCAGCAAATTGCTGTTGGTCAAGCATGTGGTGGTAAAAAGAGCAAGGATGTTTAAGAATATGTTTAAAATATGTGCTGATGTTAACAAAAGAAAAGGTAGACTTTAGACTGTAATATAAATGATTTTTTTGGGGGGGTTAATCCTCACCTGAGGATATTTTTCCATTGATTTTTAGGGAAAGTTGAGGAGAGAGGAAAAGAGAGAGAAACATCCATGTGAGAGAAACACATCAATTGGTTGCCTCCTACACATGCTTCGATAAGGGCCCAGGCTGAGGAGGAGCCTACAACCAAGGAATCAAACCCGGGCCGATGCTCAATCCACTGAGCTAAACCAGCTAGGGCAAGGAATGTTTTTTTTTTTTTTTTAGTATAAGATCTGGCAAGGCTGCCCATTTGGCTCTTTCAGCCTGTGATGCCCTCTGCCCCCTCCCAGAAGAACAGAAGAGTCTAATACACGAGACCTAACTTTGTTTGGCTTAATTTACTTCCATTGTCCATTCTTCTCACATAGCCAGCGAGGTCACAGAGCTTTGTCAAGGCTGTATGAGTCAACCTCGGACTGAAGCAGGATAAGGCTGAATCCTGGGGCAAGCATAGGCACATTTAGTGTGAGGAACAAAAGTGGAACTGGAAGCTAATTAAGGTCACGTGATATGGATATTGCAGAAAATATCAAAGTGGTATATCAACCTTGATAAAGAAGGAAATCCTGCCATTTGTGACAACATGGATGAACCTTGAGGACATTATCCTAAGTGAGGTATGTTGGATAGAAAAAGACAAAAGTTAAAAAAAAAGAAAAAGAAAAAAGAAAAATAACACTGTATGATAAAATATATTGGGGGAAATCTAACAATGTCAAATTCATAAAAACAGAGAGTAGAAGGAGGTTAGCAGGGTCTGGGGGGTGAGGAAATTGGGGAGATATATTTTTTTT